GCATTCAAAGAGTAATGTTCCGCCGTTCTCTAGTAACGTATAAAAAAGTCACTCATACGCCCCGGTGAATAATATTATTTAGGATACGAACGTGTAAATGAAGTTCTCCTACTTCGACTCGGAGCAGGGCTGCCACTTTGGTAAATTCTTCCCAAAATTAGCAGAGAAAATTTGAGTTTGTAAAAAGATAAATTTTTGTTCATTTTGGTAGATTTGAGTCAAAGTATTTTGTTTGAAAAACAAATAAAACTTTTCGTTCCCCCTTTATTTCTCGTAGTTATCTTTATTTCATTCTACATTGTTTGTTATACTACACTTCCATTGACTATAAAACTGCATATCGAGAAATTCAGATTAAAAACCTCGAAATTTAGACGAAAATTTTTGTAATCTTTCTAAATGTTTTATATAGCTTGAATCCTTGATATTTATGGGTTTGGTTTAATCGCAAACAATATTCTTATACAAACAAAAATAGCAAAAAAAACTTGAACAACATTGTGAATATAAAAAAAAATAACCAAGGGGTTTTTTGAGTCGCTGTATTTGTCTATAATAAATCCAATGGAAGTTTTTTTCAAATGATGAAGTTTCGTTGTTGCCTTTGTTTCATCACTTTCGTTTTTGGTTGAAGGAAACCGATAAGATGTCATTAATATGATCTCAAATAGCATATCAATAGTTAAAAAAAAAAGTTCCTCAATAAAAAATTTTAATTTCTATGGAAATAGAACTAATCTATAGTTTTCATTAAAATAGCTAAACAAAAAGTTAATGGTAGATATTTTCCAGATTTGGTAACTTTTTTCAAGTGGCTGGTAAATATTTTTTTTTTTTTGTCAGTGACAACCCTGACTCGGAGGCATGTTTGTCCATTATGAATGCCTTCCATGAGCGCCAGGAGGAGGCATATCCTTTCAACCATGATTATACCAAGATTTCAGTTAAACCAGTTACTCTACGAAATGAAACTGAGGAAATTTGATAGTTGCTCTTCCGTTATTTAGCTGTCAAGCTGGCGGAAAAGCAAGATCCCAACTGCTTGATTCGCTTTCACTGTAGTTCTGCACAGCGGCATAGAAAAAATTTTACGCTCCTTTTTGAAAGTACCTGAGTTCGCGTCTTGGTTAGCCTCAGCCATAAAAACCTAAAAATTCCACAGACATTAAGATCGATCCATATGTTAGTTGTTGCACAAATCAGGGGTTGAGGGAGCTATGCTCCTGGTTGATCTGTAATTTTGAACAGAGGCGAGGCATCTCATCGGTTGTTTCGTTCACTTCGATATTGCTTGCATATTCATGAACCCGGCAGAAAGAGGAGTTAAGGTGGCTCAGTGATGGTAGCGAGGTATCGCATGTCCGAACAATTCTTGGCTACCTTGGTTTGTAACGCTTTCAATATCGCGTCTTTCTCTTTTTGATTAACGCTGTAACCGCCTAAGCGATTTTGGCCGATTTTATTTTTTGCTTTTCCTGCGAAATTGAAAATTTGCTGCTTAGGGCCTTTTGTGAATTAAAGTAACGAAATATTTCTACGAGAATATACATATACATGCATATGTTTACTTTTAGAAATAAATATTCATGTATTTAAGGAATTATGAACTTTCAGTACAGTCATTTGAAAATCCACCGCTTCTTCTTTATTGCACACTCATATTTCTGTTTCTATTTATGCTGCGAAAATCTGCCCCATGTGTATGAATTCGTACGTTTTCTAAACAAACTATTAAAGAAAAAGTATTGCGAAAACATGCCATGATATGTTTTGATTTACTTCTCGACCCAAGCGAAAAAACAAATCAAATCGAATATACAAAATATATGTATGCACATATGTGTAAGTATAAACAAGCGAACACATAAAATATTTACGAGGCTTGTCAGGGATATATTTGCAGCACTGTTCATACAAATCTGCTTTTACTTTTCAATTCAGTTTTCTGCATTTTTTGTTTTTTTATTTTAGCAGACACACACGCACATCGCCATTAACGTACATATACACTTTATTTTTGTGCATTGTGTGGTGAATTTTTCGCGTCTTCCAAATTTCTCAAGTTGCAACGACGAGTATCTGTTGCATTGCAGCATATTGCAGTTCGGCGTTGTGCGAGTTGTATGCTCCGTTGACGCACAGAGTGACAGACGAGTAGCCAACGCAGCTGTTGGCCATTTTTAATTAGGCAACATCGAGCGATGCCTCTAATTGTTTTGGACTGATTGATGTTTGAGAGAATGTAAAGCGGCAAGAACCAACAGACTATTTGCCAAATAATTTGTTTTTTTTTTTGTTTTTGAAAGAAACTGAATTACTTGCCCTTTTTGAGAAACATAATCGTAAATTATATTGGAGTGATTAATGGGTATTTAAAATTTAAAAATATATTCATACCTGAAAACCAAAGTGTTTAGAATTAACTAAAAACTAGGAGCTAGCAATGGGAAGCTATTAAGTGTATTTAGCTGTGGAAGTGTTTTAAATACTCCTTCAGTTGATTTTCGCATACACGGAGAAAAGAGTTTAGTTATTCCAACCAGAATTTTGTTATATTTTGTTGCCAAATGGCATAATTGAATATGGCAAAGTAAAAGTCTGGCCTAGAAACTTACAACGAAATTCTACTAAAAAATATTACACTTGGTGGTTTTCCGCCTTTTTTGCATGTGACTCTCTGCATATAACTTACAGGGTCTAGATGTACAAGTTTAACTGACTCTTTACCTCCTGCAGTCGCAATTTCTCACTGAAGATAAGGTTTGGGTAGAGAGTTCTTTCCAACAGTTGCATTTCGGGATGTGTTCACACTTTTGTATATTATAAATTATGATACTCCACTTCTTCGAAAATTGCCTCTCGCCTTTGCGAATTGGCACCAGTTGTTCATTCCGATTTCAGGCCGGTCCATGGGCGTTGGTTGGAAGGACCTTTTCACTGGAGTGTCGTCATCCATGCGTACGACATTCCCAAGTGAGCGCAGTAGTTTATGCGCTTAGCTATGTCCATGTAGTTAAAAGCCTTATAAAGTTTGTCATTCCATCTTGTTCGGTACCCGTCGCCCACCCGAACCGGGATATAAATCTTGCCAAGGATAGTTCTCTTGAAAGCCCCAAACGCTTCTCATGTTTGCATGGCATTGTCCATGCATTTCGTCTTATAAGGATATTTGTAAAGCATAGTTTTTTTTCGTCTAGAGAGGGCTATGCATTTCAATTACCTGCCGAGCCTAGCCTACCGCATGTTACGTTACGGCAAGAACAGATTAGTAAATGGATTTTCACTGCTCATTTATATCCAGTATATGAAGAGTTTCTGTTTTTAGGCAGGATTGGGAGTCGATAGCGATACTTCTCGGCTGTTCGTTGTGAGTACGGTTTCTCGACGTCGAAATAGCATCGCACTACCTGGAGCAGGTTCTTCATTGCATTGAAGCGCATACGGACTTCGGATAGAACGCACGTCAATAACGCTTCTATCGTATCCTTCGTATATCACAACTTGCTCAGTTTAGTTCTTTGTTCTTTAATCAGGGGAGACTCAAGTGGTTTTTTGGGTCTTTGGAGTTGTTTCGATGATGGTGTCTAACTAACATGTTCCGTTCCAAGGAGAAGTCGATCAGGCTGAGTTTTCAGACTTTTGGACCTAATAGGCCTTCTTTACTTCCCTTACCGTTAAAGTCCCCAAGCACTATTTTTATGTCGTGGCGGGTGCAGCGCTCATTCGCTTCCTGTCAGTGCTCGTAGAATTGCCCTTTAGTCTAGTCGTTCCTCTTCTCCTTCGGGAGGTGCGCACAAATTAGGCTTATCTTGTTGATATTCGCTTTGAGGCCAGCTTTTAACTGCATCTGCTGGTGAGCAGTTAAACCGAATATGTCGGAGTAGCCTCATCGAAGTCCTCCCCGCTCTTTCTACCATAATAAAAGGCTCCTCTGGGATTGGTTAATGCATCTCAGATATGGGTTGCTCACGTTGCCCGGAGTGCAGGTACCGGCACGCAAAGGCTGGGATTGAGCGGAGACGTACCTCATTGCACTCCATCACACTCTAGTCCCATATAAAATGCTTCTTTTTCATTATTTCTGTCATTTATAGCAATTTTTCTGAACGGTGATAAATCAAAATTTTTTCCGATAAAACGCACTCAACCTGTCTAAATGGTATTGACACTTTGTCATCATCTAAGTCCTTGTATATCTATTGCTGAATTCTTATACCTTTCCACTACTGCCTTAATTCCCTGATTAGTTTTTCTATTTTTACCTTAATTATGTTGCTAACTTGCAACAGAAATGTCTGCTTTCTGTTTGCGTTAAGGCTATCATTCGATATGTTGGTGGATGTTAAGCTTACACTCAAATATGTTATGCTTCCCGTCCAAGATATGGTTTCGTTGACTATCTTCCAGATGTACCGGTGCTTGGTATTAGAGTGGGTCCGCTCGCCCCTGCTGTGGATACAGGTTATAGACAACCTGCTAGAGGAGCCGTTAAATGCCCACCACGACTCCTCTGGCAACACAGGATCGGCGTATCAAAATTTTCCATAACCTTTTTTGCATAGTTCGGGCTGTATATTACTTATAACGCGTTTAGTTTTTCAGCTCTGGGACCGTCTCACGCTTATTGGCACGTAGCCCCAGAGAAAAAAGTCAAATGGTGTCAAATTGCATGATCTCGGCGGGCATTTGACCTCATTGCTTCGTGATATAATTTATCCCGGAAAATTCGTTAGCAATAGGGTCATTGTTTGGGGTTTGAAAATTTATTGCTTCGTACTGCATTAGCGCAGTCCGTCCTAATAAAGATTTTTAGTTTACATTAAAATACTTGTACACTGTACATATTCCTCAACAGTCACTTTACTCACTGGTCATCTACCGTCCTCTCGCTGATATTTATAAACCACACTTTACTTCTTCTAATTTTTCGATTAAAACTTTATACAATCTGTAACCAAAATTTCCATACACCTATTTTAAATGCATCAATAATTTTTCAGCTGCTAGAGAAGCGCATAGATAAGTTTACCGACAATACAACACAACAGTTGTTGATTACTAATCCAGAAAGCGAGTCATATGTGCGAGTGGAACTACAAAAACTCAACGAGAAATGGCACAATTTCAAGGATCAGGTGAAAAACAAACGCAAATCCCTGGACCAGGCGACCGAATTTTTCGAAATGGTAGAAAAAGTAAGTACTAGTACGCATAAATAGTCACAGTCCTTCAATAAATAGTCAATTAAACTCATCTACTTCTCACGCTCTTCACCTCTACAGATCGACGCCGAATACCGCGAGATCAACTACTTTTACAACAGCGTATCCAACAAGATCACCTACCTACGTGATCCTGTCGAAGCCTCGAATCTAGTCAACGATATTGAAAAGTATGTGGCCACGCGTGAGGGTCCACTGCTTGAAAAACTTGAAAACGCCGCTCAGTGCGCGCACGATATGAACAAAGTGTCTACGCTCTACAATGATGTACGCAGCATCTTTCAGGCTTTTCTGAAACTCAAGTCCGACATAAATGTCGTGCAGGAGCGAATGAAGAATGAGGAACGCCTACGCGAACAACGTGATAGGGAGGCACGTGAGCAGGCGGAGCGTGAACGCGCTGTTCGCGAAGCAGAAGCAAAGGAACGTGCTGCCCGTGAGGCGGAAGAACGGGAGCGTATCGCACGAGAGTTAGCTGCGCGTGAGCAGGCGTTACGCGAAGAAGAGGCGCGTCTACAAGCAATTCGCGAGCAGGCAGCGCGCGAGCAAGCAGCACGTGAAAGGGCTGCACGTGATGAAGAAGCGCGCTTACAGGCATTGCGTGAGCAAGCACAACGCGACGAAGAAGCGCGTCTGCACGCATTGCGAGAGCAGGCTCGTCGTGAGGAAGAGACACGACTTGAAACATTGCGTATTGAGGAAACTCGTCTGCAACTGTTGCGCGAACAAACTAAGCGTGAAGAGGAGGCGCGGCTAAAAGCAATACGTGAACAGGCAGCGCGAGACGAAGAAGCCCGGCTGCAGGCGCTACGTGAACAAACAGCACGCGAGGAGGAAGCACGCTTGCAAGCGCTGCGCGAACAAGCAAAACGCGAAGAAGAGAGTCGCTTGTTGGCGCTGCGGGAGCAGGTCACACGTGAAGAGGAGGCTCGCCTACAAGCGCTACGTGAACAAACGAAACGTGAGGAAGCTGTACGCTTGCAAAGTGTGCGCGATCAAATCGATCATCAACGCATTGTTACCGAGAATATACGCAAAGATATACAGGTGAACGAAATCTTTACAGAAATCAAATATGTGTCACCACGTTTCAACCGGCTACTCAAAGATGCAATCACGCGTGAGGGTGACAAGTTCACATTCGAATGTGAGGTCACAGGAAATCCCGAACCGGCTGTCGAGTGGTTCAAAGATGGCATATCCATACAAAATAATCCCGATTATAAAACCACCTACGATCGTGGTGTTTGTCGATTGGTGATCGAAGAGACTTTCACTGCCGACTCGGCGCGTTTCAGTTGTCGCGCTTCAAATTTGGTGGGCAGCAATGAGACTAGCGCTAATTTATCGGTGCGTGAAAATGCCATTGAAATGCAAATGGTGCCGTCCAGAATAGTGCGTTATCTTGAAAGTGGTAGGGCAACCGAGGGTAGCACATTCGAATTTTTGTGCGTTGTTAGTGGTAATCCATTGCCCACCGTGCAGTGGTATAAAAACGACAAGTGTATTGATGATTCACCCGATTACGTTATCAATTACAATAATGGGGAGGCAACTTTACGTTTCGAGGAGGTTTTCCTCGAAGATGATGCTGTCTATACGTGCAGCGCTTCGAATCCTGCCGGAATTGAGCATTGTTCAGCCAGCTTGATTGTAGAACGTAAGTATAGTTTTTCATATGCATACATAATTCGACAATAATTTCGATATAAAATGGGACAAACATGAAATGTGTAAGGCGTGGGAACTATAGGTACATATAAAGTTTTGTCAAGATTTTTGAAAAGAAATATTTCATCATTTGAAATTTATATTTGCTTATTCAGATAAAAGTCTCTACTTTTTGTTTCTGAAAACTAAGTAAATTTTCGAACTTAGCTGACCAAATTTTTGTGAAAATAAGTTTAATAATTTGTCATTGAGTAATCGATATAGCAATCAACTTGCAACAGAATGAAATTTCGTAACTTTGCGACCTAAACCACAATTATATTTTCTCTTCACCATTTCAGCTCTGGAGCCGACAGAAGTGCCTCATTTCAAAATACCGCTTACCAATGCAATGGCTCGTGTTGGTCAAAAAGTTAAACTTGAAGCGCTTATCGGTGGTATACCACGGCCGGATATATTCTGGATGCACAATGGAAAGCCATATGTACCACGAGATAGCAAAGTAAGTATAACTAAGTTAAATTGTCCAGCAGTAAAACGTTGAAGGCTTACTTCGAGAGAATTTGGGTATTATTAGTAATACTTTTGCCATTGCCTGCCTAATCAATTTTTAGCATAAAAATCCGAGCTCTAGTTATGACCTATTGAGTACGGCATAACGACTAATAATGCTGCCACTACATTAAGTGCCATTAAAACACATTAAATTCCCCACTTAATTAAAGGCAATTTTGACCACTTTGTCTTTCCGTCATTCGATTTTAAAAATTTTTCGCAGGGCACGTTTTTATGGTCAAGCAAACTTTTTTAGGGGAAATCTTGCTTTGTAGTTCAAAATTAAGCAAACGGTAAGTATAACGGTAATTTTCAGATATACGAAAACTGCGATATTTTAGATAATTCACTCAAAATTGATATTTGTAATAAATTTTAGACGAAAAAAAAGAATATTATAAACTTTTGGAAAATGGGCGTAGCCACGCCCCCTTATAGTTACATGTGTATATCTTGGTAACCCCTGCACCAAAATCTTCCAAACTAGGCACAGTTATTAGTCTTGCTACAGCATACCACGCCCACAACCCATATAACGGTAATTTGGAGAAATACGAAATCTTCGATAAATCAGTAAATATTAAAGCTAATTTATTCAAAATGCTTGCAACAATTCTTTACCAAGATACGTGTATGAAAACATTTTGGAAAATGGGCGTGGCACCGCCCACTTATGATCACATATATGTATCTCGCTAACCGTTCTACGAATTTGTACCAAACTCAATTAGGTTATTGTGCTTGCCACATGAAAGCAAAACGTTGAAAATGATTGAAATCGGACGAAAATGACGGCCGCTTTTGATATAACGGTAAATTTCAGAAATGCTTGAAGCTTCAATATTTCGTAATTCAAGGACGCTTATTTACTCAAAATTTACACACCCCGGCTTACCATGTAGCGGTAGCTGTCGGAAAGGTGAAAAACGTATATTTAATATTTGCGCCCGGTATTTAATATTCAGCTTCGCCCGAACTTAGACTTTCTTACTTGTTTTTTTTTTTTTATTGCACAGAACTTTAAACTTGTATTTACATGGTTTTTGGTGAAGAATGAACTATGTTTTTATAAAAAAAAATAACTATAGTTAAATAGCAAACACAAAAAAAAAATTGAAACATGCCGCGGCTTAAATTTTTTTCAGCTTTTACAGGGAACGTGTTCGATATGCGAGAATAAATTTGTAGCAACACTGTGGATGCTACGTATACATACATATATGTATGTATATAAATATGTATATCTTAAGCAACAAAGCGTTTAGAATAGTCTTGCTTAAATGGGTACACATAAAATCATAAAAAATTATCACTTTATTGCAATAAAAATTTTGCTAATTGCATTAATTCGTTTTTGGGGCCACAGTGGCATTAGCGTAGGCGGTACATGTGTTGACAAGCCGGCGGTATAATGTTTAATAGGCAAATGCCAAAACTATAGAAAAGTGAAAGAAATTATTTGTAGACTGAATGAATTTTGACGCAGACTCAGAAGATGAACATCTGCCCCTTCGGAATAAAGCAGACAGTTTGAAATTTAGCCAGTTGAAACAGTAGTTCCACTGTGAAGGAAGAATTTCAAGAATTTTGCAGTTAGTTAAAAGGTACTTATTATTGTTTTTAAAGTAATTTATTTTCCGACCGTATTCAAATAAGACACAACTAAAAAAGTTTGGATCAATTCTTAGGTTCTTTTCCACAAATTAATGCAAATATTTTTTTTCTCCATGATTATATTCTGTAACTAGAAAACAACAGTTATACCTGTTTTTGTTTTATCAATAGCCCTGAATCTGTACCTTGTGCCTTTTTTGAAGACGCTGTGCGAAAAGTAAGTTCATTATGTATACCCGGCAAAAACAGTTCCAAAAGTATATATATTTATTTTTTTATGATGTTCTAAAAGTGGTAAACATGCATACACATGTACATAAATAAATACTGTGACTCAAACAAGTGACCACGTGCTGATTTTTTTTTAAATATTCATAATGTTTTTCGAGTTATATTTTTTTGGAATTTTTTTATAAAAATATTGTCTAAACAAAAATATTGTCTTTAACAGAAACCATATAAATCACAGTTTTTAACTTTTTAAAAAAATTTAAGAAAATTTAACAAATTTTCATCAAAATTTGAACTTATAAATCTGAATTTTGAAAACATTTTTGGGTATGCTGCTATATAGCCTATACAATTTTAATTAACAAAGTGCAAGATTCAAACGGTTAAAAAATCCCGTTGATTTTTGAGAATTTTCTTTTTGTAACGGATTTTTGCACTTTTTTCCATATAGCATGAATTTCTTATGAAATAAAATGCGGAAACCGTTACCAATAAAATTTCAAAAAATCAATATAAAAAAATCTGCGAAAGCAGTCTCAAAAAGCAAGGCGGTTTTTTAGCCGATTGAAACTTGCACTTCATAAAACTAAAATTGTATGGGCTATGAAAGATGTTCTAAAGATTTATATTAAAAGGTTTACATTTTGATGAGAATTTGTTGAATTTTTTCTCTAAAGCTTGGAGGGTATTTTTATAGATACCAATACCATTACATTTACCCTGAAAATAATATTTTTCTATTGCATTGCTGCTATGTTTGCAAATGTAAAAATTGTACTGTAGATAACAATTTTCTATGCGCCATGTCCCACGAGTAAAGAAGAAAAATGTCTTTGGCTGAAATCATTAAAAAAAATTATTTATGACTTGAGAATAAACATTGTATTTGAAACATTAATTGTTAATTGAACACATAATTTTGGAGTGGGTGTTCTGTTGAAAGCTGCACACATTGAATATCTATGGTTAAACATACTTATGTGTATAAGCATGTATGTATGTGTGTACGTAATTTACATATATACATACATATGCACACTTTAAATAAAAATTTTGTTTTCAGTACCGTTTCGAAGATATTATTCTAATTAATATTGAAATGTGATTTTTCATTGTCTGATCATAATATATTCATAGATATTTATTTTAGCTCTATCTAAGAGTTTCACTATTTTTGTTTTGAAAATAATCACCAATCCGACGCAATTTTTAGCTTTGAATATGTACATGTACATAATAGGGATGTTTCGAATGTCATATTTTGCACATTCACGAATGTGAATGCGAATTTTCGGAATGTGCGAATGCGAATGTTAGGAATAACATTAAAAATGCTATAATCAACTTAAGTCTCGTTTTTATTAATTAAAAATTTTGTAAATTATTAGAACATTGAACGAGTGTTTTAATCTAGTAGTCAAAGTTCAAAAGGGGGATATTATATTTCAAAACAAGTAATTTTGCTGCCTTTTCTCCCATGAGCCGATTCCTTAGAGGCTCGTATATAAGCCCGGCTGCAATAGACAATTGCTCACTTGGAACGCTAACGCGTGGACCGCTCAAATATTCTGTCAATTTGTCTTATTTTAGTTTAGTTTTCCACCAATCGAGATAACTTTCACCGAGATGAGCTCGTTTTGCTTTAAGATAGGCCTTCAATTGAGCTTTAATTTCACAGTTTTTAATATCTCCAGATTCTACATCCGAGCCTTCGCTTTCGCTGGAGGAATCTAAAATTATTTCTAGGTTGCTTATAAGACTTTCAGCAGTACTTGCTGAAGGCCCATCAATGTTGCTTGATATAAGTACTACTTAACCGTTTAGCGCCTGAAGCTAAAAGCCTGTTATTGTCCGCAGCCTGCTTAGACAGACTTATAGCCTATGTCCACCAGAGGCTTAACATCAGTTAAGAGCTCAGATTCATTCCAAGAATTTCAACATGGGGCGTTTGCTTGTACTTAGTAGGAGGAATTACGCCCTTTGAGTTGTAATCTTCTTGTTCCAATAGGATAAACTGCAGTTAAGACTTGGTGGAAATGAACTATTAGAGCCATTTCAACAATATTAGGGTGGACTCTCTGTACATGTACACATTCGGCAAAACATTCGTATCATTTAATGCGAATGCGATTGTGCAAAATCATCCGAATCATTCGCATAACGAATGCGAATGCAAATATTCGCAACATCCCTGGTACATACATAGTGTGTAAATATGCACATAAATTGTGGGCACAGTTGTCATAATCCCAAATTGCAATTTGTGTTTCAACAACGAATTTTAAGTAACTTCGGGTACGAGTATTGGATGACATACTTATACATAAGTGCCTGCAATAAACATTAATGCAAATGGACATTACAAAATAATAATCGTATGTAGTTAATTGAATGAGCCCCGTTTCATAAAGTTAATAAGAATTAAAATACTAAATATCGGCTAACGTCGTGGGCGGGTATGATTGGAAAAATATTTATTTATTTTCTATTTCGTTCTCTTTGCTTTTTGGCTGCAAGATGATTTGTTAGTTGTAGTACTTCCTAGAAGCTGGCTAGCATGCAATTAGCGCATTTTCTCGTGGGAAATGTTTGGTCCATGTAAACCATAATTTGCCTGGTCGAACCATCTTAACTCTCTGATGAATTTGCCCAATCGCTTATGGTAGCTCCTGATAGGTGTGTTAGTTGTTTGTAAGGCCCGGACATTTACATAAGAAATGCTGAACACTTTCTTCGCCATCTTTTAGCTGATAGCAGCCTCAATTACTATTATAGGTCAGTCCTGCTATTGATGCAAGTTCGCCCGATGTGTATGAAATTAATCAGGTGCTAGTCGCTATGAAGCTTGAGATCTCTACCAAGCGGAGTCAGTGTTTTTCAAGTAGGGGTCTTTGCCATCAAAGACGCGTGCCAAATAATTTAAGCCTCGAAGCTAGCAGAGACTAGCATTTCTTGGCTCTGTAAGCATCACCACCAGCATAATAAAAACAATGCCGAGAGAAGAATGTGGCTTTAGCTGATAGGCATGCCGTTGCACTGACGTGGGCACGGCAGCATTCATGGCAACGATATGGCCATCGAGCTAGCCAGATACAGGTTGGT